TGAAGTCTGAAGGAGCTTTCGAGACAACAGATGGAAAAGTTTACTTCACTGACCAACAGTTCATTATAGAACATCTCATTGACTTAGAGTCGAAATATTCTAAACTTTACAACAAACACAAAAAGTTGAAAGGAACAAAAACAAATGGCATATGATATTTATGAAGATGTTGACGACACAACTGTTCCTGCAGGTGAGGTAAAGTCAGAGGAACCGAAAAGTGACAAAAAACCGATAGAAGAAAGAAAAACCAAAAACTGAAGATAAACCAAAACCAAAGTTTAGTTTGGAAACTAAACCAAGTCAACCTTCATTAGCTGGTATGGGTTGGCGTCAAAGACTTATGGCAGCAGGCGGTTTATGTAAAGTAAAGAAAAAAATATTTTTTTATTTTTATAAAAATGCCCCCATATAGAATGGATAGAAAGTCTGCTAGAAAAAGCAGATTGCAAAGATATGGTTGGAGAGTTTCGAAGAGTTTAAATATAAGAAAGGAAGACCCATAAAAGTCTATGACAAATTGTCTGGTCTTCCTACGAAATGGATTTGGAAACAGCACGTGCCAATTATCCAAACAGACTAGAGGTTAGAAGAAGAACGTCTTTATGGACATGCCTTTCGATGTTAGTGAACCTCAAGTTGAAAGGAAACTTGTTTGTTAGATGAGAAATATGAAATTCACTGTTGTGAGTCATTTGAAGTCAGAAACAAAAACAAAAAGAGTTTTAAGCGAATGGGAGCGAAATGACGGATATGCTATATGAAGATGGGTGGAAAACACTATCTTAAAACATGTTGTCATTGCAACTCATTTTATACTGAATCCTAACAATTTACCTTTTGTAGACCATATAAACCATATAAGAAACGACAATAGACTTGAAAACTTACGTTGGGTCACTCGTTCTAAAAACAATAAGAACAAAGGCAAAATTTGGAGATATTGTATTCGAATTGGTCGACGAACTAGAAGATGAAACAATTGAAATTACAGACTATGGCAAGCATACGTTTGAGTTTTACTACTATAGCGAAGAACAAGACTCTTTCTACTTTTATACCGGCGTAAACTATAGGAAATTACAAGTATATTTTACTAAGGCGGGCTATGCTTATGTAAACACTAGAGATACAGATGGAAAATACGTTCAAATACTTCTTAACAAATTCAAGAAGCTATATGGCATACTATTTTAAAACAATATATTTTTACATATATTAAATGCTTCAGGTTGAAAACAAAGAACAAAAGTAGTAGATACAAAACCGTTAGACTATATCTTTACAAATGCTGGTAGGACAATATCAGATGAAGAAATTTCATTCCGAGCATACAGGTTTGACTATCCAATTCGTTGGCTTCAAAGTCCTTCAGATGCAAAGGCAAAGGATTTAGAAGAGTTTGTTTTTCAAAAAGAACTAACGCATTTATGTTCGCAGTATATTTTCATGGGCAGTATAAAGGTTCTGATGGTCTAATAGACAAATTTGACGAAATGAGAATCTTTACAGTTCGTTCAGACGAAAGTCTTGAGAAAACTCTAAATGACTTTCAAACTCAAATGAACAAATATTATTGGGAATTTCAAGAAAAATACGACTCTTTACTAAATGGAACATACTATCTGAAACTAGAATATGACAAGATGAACTCCACCGTTTCATTTCAAAAGATTGAAATTAACCCTCCAAGAGATACACAGTTTTTATTTTGGGAGGTAGACAAACGTTCTTGGGCACAATTTCTTCGGTTACTAAACCAGAACGAACCATTACCACCAGATGGTCCATTTAAATTTATACTTCCACCAGCAGATTTGACAGTTTATAAAAACGTGTTTGACCCTCAAAATGTTATGTGTCATGCAAGTTTCAGTTCAAGCAACAATAGTTTTCTATGTATTGGTAAGGACTTTTATGACTTTGCTTCTAAATTCTACGAACCACCTAGTAACAGTTTCTCTGACTTTCAAGTTTGGTTCACAACAAATGGTGTGCAACATATTATTCCATTGTACTATGACTTTTATCTCGAATTGTCTTTCATATATAACTACGGAAAAGTGCTGAAAAAGTATTGAAAAATATATTTTAGGGTAGAAGGTTAGATCTAACCTCTTTTCTAACCTCTTGAATTTTCATGAATTTTCCCGAAATAAAAAATAAAGTTAGTTTTATTTCATTTATTTTTTTATTTTGTATGTAAGAACAGATATGTCAGTCGAAGCAAAAACGTTCACGAACAAATCTAATGGCGAAACATTCACAAAAGGCACTTATAACGGTATTGAAGTCTTACGTAGAGACAAGGATGGTTATATAAATGCAACAAAGATGGCAAGAGAAGCAGGAAAGTTAAACCATTTAAACAGATTTCTCAATAGTGCTAAAATGCAGGAAATTCTTGAGTTTTGGTTGAAAGAATACGGTCGAGCAAAAGTGGCTCAACCTCAAAACAAGCATTTTATGAGCTTACTAAGGGCGTTATGAATGAATTCAAAGGTATTTACATACATGCTGACCTCGTTCATTTTGTTGCTGAATGGTGCTCTGTAAAGTATGCATTTTATGTCAAAGATATTATGGACTCCATAGACAAGAAAGTTCATGAGAAGTTAGATGAAGAAGAACTCGAAGATACAGTAGAGAATGCTAAACCTTTGTTCGAACAAGAAGTTGGAAAAATGTGCGGAAAACAATTAGAACATGAACGTGAGAAATGTTATGGTTATAGAGATTCTCCATACGAACTAGACCAATGGGAACAAGAAGATTTAAAGAGAGAATTTAGAGAATATGAACTCGCTAAGATAGCATTTGAAGCTGCAGAAAAGAAGTTAAAAGTTTGGGGTCGTTTTGTACAAAAATATTGTGAGTAAATGAACCATTTATTTTTATTGAATTCAGTAAAAATATATTTTAGGGTAGAAGGTTAGATCTAACCTGTCTTCTACCCTCTTTTCTACCCTCTTGAATTTTCATGACTTCTTCGTAAATGTTTTGTCAAGACTTCTTCATAAATGTTTTGTCAAGACTTCTTCATCGTAATGAGTGTGTAAAGGACCCAAAATATAATTTAGGGTAGAAGGTTAGATCTAACCTGTCTTCTACCCTCTTTTCTACCCTCTTGAATTTTCATGAATTTTCCCGAAATAAAAAATAAAGTTAGTTTTATTTTTTTATTTTTTTTTATTTTGTATGTAAGAACAGAAATGACAAACACTGAGTTTGAAACAGTTAAAAAGATAGACAATAACACTAAATTGGTTAGAATTGGTGATTTAAACGTAGATACTCAAAGAAATACAACAAATATTCTTTGTCAGACATTATATCTCCATCTGGAAAGAAAACATCCCATTGGGTTGGAATTGCTTCTACTCAGAAAATTTTGACAAGAAATCCTGAGCTTATGATATCGGTAAGATTCTGTGGAACTACAGCATATCTCATCGACAAAAGTCTTATACCAATAGTTTTGTTATGGATTGACCCAGTTGTTGGATATAACTTCATAACATATGGTTCATTCGATACGGAACGTTGCAGTGAAGGCTTACTTTACATCGTTCAGAAACCGAAGGACTTCAATACAAAGAGATATAAGATAGGAAGAACATATAATATAACTCAAAGATATGACAGTATAGTCAATAGAGTCAAGGTGTGTTTGTTAACGATATGAGAGCTGCTGAAACAGAACTACTTGAAAAGTTTGAGAAAATGTATGGTGCTCCCACGAAAGGTAAAGAAACGTTTGAAGTAGATGAGATAGATAAAGCTATAAAATTATTTGACGAAGTTGCTGAAAAATACATGTAAAGCGTTTATTTTTGGTCTTTTGTGAAAGTCAGAAAAAATAAAGTTAGTTTTATTTTTATTTATTTTTTTATTTTGTATGTAAAGACAGATATGTCAACAACAGAGAACACAACAACTGCTATCGTTCATGAAGCCATAAATGAAGAATATGAGTACATACAGTTTAACAAACAACTCCGTCTCATTCGTTCGGTCAAAGACGATATGTACCAAATGCAAAGTATTTTGACTGCATGTTTTGCTCCAGATACCAAACACGCAGACGATTGGTTCAAAAACCAAAGCACACAAGAACTTTTGAGTGAAGCACAGCGAGACCGACTTTTTTCTGAAAACAGTGAAGAACAGCCGAGACCGACTTCCTTCGGGTCGCCTAAAACTCATGAAAACAGTGAAATTTCTCTAGACCGACTTTTATCGGCCTTGCATAAAACACATGAAAATCGTAAAAATTTGCCAATAAATTTAAGAGGTTGGTATGTACATAGACTTCTTGTAAATGCTGTTGCAATGTGGGCTTCTCCTCGTTATGCATGGCATGTTTACATGATGTTAGATGAACTATAATTTTTAGGGCATGTGTCAAACCGTTGAGTTTTCACAAAATTTAAAAAATAACGTTTACCATGTAAAACGTTTATAAAATAACTGGGTAGAAAAGAGGGTAGAAAGGAGGTTAGATCTAACCTTCTACCCTAAATTATATTTTTATTGAATTCAGCACAAAAATCATGAATTTCCTTAAGATAGAAAAAATAAAGTTAGTTTTATTTTTATTTATTTTTTTATTTTGTATGTAAGGACAGATATGTCAACAACAGAGAACACAACAACAGTTATAGTCCATGAAGCTATAAATGAAGAATACGAGTACATACAGTTTAACAAACAACTCCGTCTCATTCGTTCGTCAAAGACGATATGTACAAATGCAAAGTATTTTGAATGCTCTTCGTTCTACAAAGCAAGCATATCATTGGTTTGAAAAACCAACAGACAAAAGAACTTTTAGAAGAATTTCCTCATATGTTTGCTTCCCTCGAAAAACGAGGAATGAGATTCCGTATGAAAATCGTAAGAATTTGCCAATAAATTTAAGAGGATATTATGTTCATAGACTTTTAGTAAATGCCGTAGCAATGTGGGCTTCACCTCGTTATGCTTGTTATATTTTCATGATGTTAGATGAAATTCATAGACAAGAACGTGAAGAGATGGAAAAGAAACTTCATGCAAAAGATGAAGTCATTGAAGCAAAAGACAAAAACATTCAGAAAAGAATACCACGTTCGGTACCAAAAGGAAAGGAAAAGAACTATAAGTATATGATTTATACTGAAGAGATGGAAAATGAAGAAGACAGAGATATGGTTATGTTGCATTTAGTCAGAAGAAACAACAAAAGCTTTTACGACCTTGCTAAGATTTACAAATCTGACAGAAATTGGTTCTATCGCGAAAACTTACCGATTTCAATGACCCCAAATGAAGATGTGAAACAAATAGTTCAAGATACTTTACCTCAAACACACTATGATATGAAAGGTTGTACAATACTTACCTTCAAAGAAGACTTACCGCTACTGAAGGAAAAAATAACAGAGTATTTTGACAACTTCAAACAAGTAGGGTAGATGAACCATTTATTTTTCAAGCTTGACTTCAGATGGCTCAGGTAGCTCTATAAAGTAAATTGGCTTGTCAAATCCTTCTGGCATTCCGAGTCCTTCCATCCGACAGAAAAATATTTTCCCTTCCGACAGAAAAAGTTTTTCCTTCCAACAAGAAAAATTTTTCCCGACGACAAGAAAAAATTTTCCAGTTGTCCGTCCGTAAACCATTCAAATTTTCGAAAATTGAGAACTTTTTGGTCGAACTTCAGGAAAAATTTTTCCTTCCGACAGGAAAAGTTTTTCCCGACAACTGGAAAAGTTTTTCCTTCCAACTGGAAAAGTTCTTCCTTCCGACAGGACACAAACGAATGTCTCACGTCCCTCTTCCTGAATGCCTTCCAAAGCCAGAAGAACCGACAGCCCCAGCACCACAACAGACTTACTAAGACTAAACACTTACATTTTTTCAAGCTTGACTTTTTACAATTTGAACTTTGTTCGCGTAGATATGAATTCTGAAAGAAGTATGAGGGTCTTGTATGACTTTGTACTTCTCCATAGTTCATGTCTGTCAAAACTTACCTGCCATGGACTCTTTCATAAGTTCCATGAAATCGTCTTCGGACAATCCGGGGAAAAGTATAATGTCAGTAAGTATTCTTTTAACATCCTTACTTAAACTCTTTGCTGTCTGTACACAAATGACAACTGAGATGTTAAAGTGTCTGAGCTTCTTAAGAATTCGACACATATCTTGTTCTCTATTCTTTAACAAAGGATGAGAGGCGAAATCATCTAAGATAAGAAGACACCTATGAGGGTAAGTCTTCCAATCGTAAGATTGCAATTTCTTCGAAATGTATTCTATCTCTTTCTGTTGTTTTCTGAAGTGTTTCTTCTCTAATATTCTCTGCATTTCCTCATTTGGTCTTTAAACTTAGAATTTATATACTCATTTATAGCATTATACTTCAAAACTCTTCTTTGGTACTTCTTTATCCAATCTAACAACTCAGTATCCTTTATACATACTAACTTAGACTTCTTTATAATATCTTTGAACGAATTGACGGTTTGGTCAAATTGACCAGAAGTACTACAAATAACAACTAACTCATAGAATGGGTTCTTCTCATCTAGTTCTTGTTGTTGTGCAGCCATTTTAAGATAAGTGAAAGTCTTACCCGACCCAGGTGGTGCAATTAGACCTGTTATACCATTCTGAGCAAATAAGAACTTGTCATGTATAGGTTTTATCTGAGCATTTTCTAACTTCCTCTGTGTTCTTGTTTAAAACATTCTCAAATTTTTTGTCAATGTCAGCAAACTTTTTTTCTAACATATTTTTAGAAAAATTAAAATTTTTATCTTTTAGAAAATGTCTAGCGATTTCGCTATCTATATTCGAGACAAGCTTTTTGACAGCAAAACATCTGTCGACCATAAAATCTTACATAGTGTAAACAAGAAAGGTGAATTTGTTCTAAAGTTCTGTTTCTGGAATATGACAAGAACCATAAAACATTAAGCAGAGCAGTCTTAAAATTTGTCAATGACAGACTTGTTGACAGAGATGACGCCTCTTGGAGAGATGAAGTCCAACAAAACTTCTTAGAATGCAAAGAAGACACATGCGCTGTTCTTGAAGATGAAATAGAAAACAGAATAGATGAGCTATTAAAGGACAAAGAACTTTTACATAAATATGGTTGCGCCAAATTTGACATAACTCCACCAGAGAAGAAGAAGAAGAGAGAAAAGAAAGAAAAGAAAGTAGAAGAGAAGAAAGAAAAGAAAGTAGAAGAAGAGAAGAAAGAAAAGAAAGTAGAAGAAGAGAAGAAAGAACCTGAACCAGTTCCAGAGAAAAAGAAATTTGACATGTAAAATAAAATTTTATTTTTAGAACATTTCTGGGTCAATGTCAATGTTCTCTTCCTCTTTAGGAGTAAACACTGGCTTAGACTCTAAAATCTTTTTACCCAATTTACCTTGAACTTCAACTATCTTAGACTCATAATATTCATAGTCGTCTGCTTTCTTTGGTTCATAAGGTATAACAAGTTTGTATGCTTTGCCTTCTTTAAGGTTTGAGAACCTTCTGTCAAAATTTTCTTTGACTGCTAACAAACCTTCTATGTCTAAGTCTTCAAATTTCGCACCATTTTAGTCACAATAGCAAACTTAACTGGTTCGATGTTCCAAACTTTGCTGAATGAAGACTTTTCAAAATGGTAGAAGTAAACATTCAAATATGTGAATGGGTCTAGTTCTTCTTTAAGTCCTGACATGTACTTGTTTACTGAGATGAATTTTGCCATCTTTTCTATCGGATAAAAAAATATTTTTTTTAAATTTACTCATAAAAATTTTTCTTTGTATATACACCATTCTGTACGTCTAAAAGACTTTTGACATTTGCCAAGAATGTTCGTTTTAGACGCTGTCATATAACCATATTCTTGACAATATTGTTTATACGAATCGTACAATGACCTTTCATCTAAACACTCAAAGTCAGTTTCATCTATGAACAGTTCATATACACTCTTGTTTGCTTCTAACAATGTTTGTCTCTCTTCGGTATGTGGAATTTGTCTTGGATTGAACTTTGAAATATCTAATGTCATAAAATATGAGAACAAGTGGTTGTAAAAGTCAGATGTCAAAGTTTCTGCTAAGTCGTCAAAATATTCTGTATCTTGCATATGAGAATCTGACGTTCTGACAACTACATATCTTCTGTCAGAACTTTCTAACTTCATCGGAACAGCATTGTTTGAAACCATAATGAAGTTTGCAACATTTTCACAAACTCTTTGGTCTTTATATTTTCTTTCAACAACTCCAACTTTGTCTGTTATAAGACTCTTCAAAGCATCTGAGTTTAAAACTTTTGTTGTATCTATACTTTGAAGTTCATTGCAAACTATAAGTTTCATATTCTCTATTGAGGAGTTAAATTTACCACAGATGTTTTCTAAGTTTGTCATATTCGGGTTCGAATAGCCCTCTAACAGTTTGCATAAGATATCTGTAAAGAATGTGTTCTTACCAGTTTCCTTGTTTTCCAATTATAATGAGAGCAGTTTCATTTTTAGCACTTGGATGTTGTAAGATGTTTGCAAAAACAACATAAGATATACTCATAAACCTTTTCGTTTCCATTGCATATAATTTCTTTGACATGGTCTAACCAAGCTTCTATAATATTTTCTTTCCATTCTACTTGTTCGTATTTATATCCAGTGAAGATAGAATAGAAGTTTTGGAGAAGGTGTATAGAACTTTATACCTCGAACTGAAAAATCTTCTAACTTTGACAATAAGATATCCCAAGCATCTAACATCTTCATGCCAACTTGTACGACTTTTATTTCTTAAGTTTCTGTCTACATTCTTGTTCTGAAACTATTGTTGCTCTTGGTTTGTTAAAGACTACATCCCATTCTTTCATTACATAACATTCTGGGGCAGAGTCAACATAAATGACTAAACGTTTCAAATTCTCGACTGCTTTGTTATAGTCTCGAAATGGACACATATTTCTGAATGCTTGAAGTCATAAAAATCTGAAAATCTATTCTGTACATTTTATAAAAATAAAAAAATATTTTTTTTATTCTTGACTTTGTTGTTGCATTTGTTGCATTTGTTGTTCTTGAGCTATTTTTGTTGAAGTTGTTCTTGTAATACAATACTTTCACCAGTTGCATCTTCCAATTCGAAACTTTCTGCCGTCATTGACAAATACATAGGACATAAAAGTTTTACAGGAACAAAGTTTGCGTCAACTAATGTCAACGTTATACTTGCCAAAGTGTTTGAGTTCACTAAGGTTGAAAATTCTGCATTCGAATGAACAATAGGCAAACCAGCAGAGAAAGTATTGTTTATACGCATAAGTATCTTTTGGTCATAATAGTTTCTGTCAACATTCGAATAACACTTTGAACCTAAGTTTGAAACAATATATAAGATTGGTGTGCTTAATGTCAATGGAATAGACATTCCTTGTATGACACCTTTCCTGTTATAGGAAACTGTTGGTAGTAAAAACCAGATATAAGTTTTGTATTATAGCTCATATTGTTATAGTAAACTCAGTCGGACATCCAAACATAATGAAACCTGCTCTAGTTGCAGCACATGTTACACCCGTCCTTAAAGTATTAAATAAGTCAACAAAACCTGTTGGTGGTATATCTGAGTAAGTATCTTCAAAAGGAGTATTTTTTACCATTCACAACAATAAAGTCTTCTGGTGTCAAAAGAGCAAAACAGGCTTTAGTCGTCATTGTGTTTAAAGTTAGTTTACAATATCGTCCTTGAGGACTTTGTAAGTTTGTTGTTATAGAATTATATGACTCAGGGTTTTTAGTCGTAATAGTATAAACCATTATATCTTCTGCCATTTATATATATTTAAAGTTTTTCTGAAAGTGGAGAAGAACTTCATCTAAACTTTCACATGGCGTTTCTTGAAGTTCTCTGTCTAAGAAGTTCAAATATTTTGTAAAGACATAGAACTTTCCTTTGTCTACACGAACAAACAAAACAGGGTCTTTCATATCGTTCAAAAGTGTGTAAAGTCCTTTACATGAAATAAAGTCTATATTATTTTTCTTCAAAACATCTTTCAAGAAGTTTTTGACATTTTTACTTAGCAAATAAATTTTAATGAAATGTTGTGGTCGTCAAATATTTTTTATGACGTCTGGGAAACTATACTTTAAGTTCAACGTTTCACCTCCTTTCATAACGTATATCTTGTCAATGACATTATATGAAACACCACAGCAACTAATGTCGGGTTCTATTTCTTTGATGTTTATATCGTCTGCCTCTGTCAAAAGTTTCAATAGTTCTTTCAAAACTTCATGAGGTGCAATGACATATGAGTTCACTTTTACAGGGTTGTGTTCGACCAAGTTTAACATTATACTTAAAGCTTGACAAATCTTCTCCTGAGTTTGAAGTTTGTCTTTAAGTTGTTGGTAGTCATTTCGAATATCTGCAACAGA